GGGAACGCAAAGGTATTGCGTGGGAACGCAAAAGTATTGCGAGGGAACGCAAAGGTATTGCGAGGGAACGCAAAAGTATTGTGAGGGAACGCAAAGGTATTGCGAGGGAACGCAAAAGTATTGCGAGGGAACGCAAAGGTATTGCGAGGGAACGCAAAAGTATTGCGAGGGAACGCAAAGGTATTGCGAGGGAACGCAAAAGTATTGCGAGGGAACGCAAAGGTATTGCGAGGGAACGCAAAAGTATTGCGAGGGAACGCAAAGGTATTGCGAGGGAACGCAAAAGTATTGCGAGGGAACGCAAAGGTATTGCGAGGGAACGCAAAAGTATTGCGAGGGAACGCAAAGGTATTGCGAGGGAACGCAAAAATATTGCGAGGGAACGCAAAGGTATTGCGAGGTAACGCAAAAGAAAATATCCCCCCATGTCCCCTCGCGGGCTCCGAAGATAAGTACACACAGAGTACGGTTTAAATGTTTATTTAGAGTATTGATGACACAAATACACTCAGTTTACACTTGTTCAGATGCTTAATAACACAAATAACTAATGAGATAATCACATGGCTGAGACTCCAGGCCTCCATGTCACTGTGCTGAAGTTGAAACCAGGCATCAGAATGAGGAAGACAGAAGATTAAAGATGATTGTTGGTACCAGTCGACCTGRTCTGAGTGTTTCAAACTCTGCTAATTTACTGGGATTTTTACACACACACAAAAATAATGTTACAGGAGAAAGGTCCAAACAAGAGGAGATATCAGTGAGCTGCATTTGTGCGAACAACAATGTCTTGTTGATGTCAGATGAGAGAGAGACGACAGAGGAACCACTTGTTTGAATCCAGGTGTAGCTAATACAGTGCCTGGTGAGTGTACCACATATGGATGAGTCTCTAGTAAACAGTATTTATGAACTTAAAAGGTTCTTCACCCATTTGTTCTTCAGATTGTGTCTTTGGACACTGATGAGGAGTAGAGTTGAGGGGTCACAGTTTGATCCTGATCCAGTTWGTTGTGAGACAATCTGAACGCAGCGCCTCCTGCTGCTCTGATTCCTTTATTGCATCGTTTTTCCCTCTCCATGAACTCACCTGCCTTGCTTACCTGTGCCAGATTGTCACTGAGTCTGACCTGACTGCCTGGTTTTAGTGATGGGCTGTTTAAACCTGAAGCTCCAGCCCGTATAAAACAAATAAWCAGTTTCAGGAGCTCTGTGTTGGAGAGGGATTTGTTTGGCAAGTTGTGATCACTGACATACAAAACTTCAAAAATTCAGAAGTTACATCAAAGCTTGCTACCTGATTCAAAGATTTATAATGATATGAAAGGGCTGGATTTGTGTTTTTTTTTTAATAAATCTGTGCAAAATGTAACAAGTGACTGAGTGACATTGAGTCACACAGCGCTGTGTGAAATAAAGTCATGAGTACTTTTACTCCAAGAAGAGGGAAATAGAAAACCGTTAGGTCGGGGCGGCTGTGACAGAGTGGTTAGAGGAGTCGTCCTGGAACCGGAAGTTCACCGGCTTGATCCCCTGATCCAGCTGTCTCTGTTGTTGTGTCCTTGGGCAAAACACTTAAAGGGGCAATATTATGTGTTTCTCAGGAATATATTTAAATACTATACAATTAAGTATCTACTGTATATCACCTTTAGCTGTTATTAAAATGCTGTTTTTATGTTTAAATAGAAAATAAACTTATC